CCTTGAAGACTGTTGGTGAAAATGTAAATTGGTACAGCTATTACAGAAAAGAGCATGAATGTACCTCAAAAAATTACAAATAGAACTACCATAGGTTCAGCAATTCCACTTTTGGGTATGTATCCACAGGGGGAAAAAAATAGATATCTTGAAGAGTTAGTTGCACTCCCATATTTATTGCAGCATTATTCACAATAGCAAAGATGCAGAAACAACCTAAGTGACTGTTGACAGATGAATGGATAAAAAATATGTGGGAGATACACACATACAATGGAATATTATTCAACCTTAAAAAAGAAGGAAATCCTGCCATTTGCAACAACTTGGATGAACCTGAAGGACATTATGCTCAGTGAAATATCCCAGACACAGAAATACAAATGCCTCATGATATCACTTATATGTGAAATCTTAAAAGGTTGAACTCATAGAAATAGAGAGTAGAATTGTGGTTGCCAGTGTTTAGGGAGGGAGTGGGGGAAAAGAGAAGATATTGATCATAGGATATAAACTTTAGTTATTAATATAAGATGAATAAATACTGGAGAATGTACAGCAGGGTGACTACAGCTAATGGTAATGTATTATATACTTGAAATTTGCTGAGAATAGATCTCAACTGAGCTCACCACACACACACACAGACACACACAAAAAGGTAACAATGTGATGCAATGCATATGTTAAATAGCTTGATCATGGTAGTCATTTAATAATGTATACATATATTAAAACATCACATCATATATCCTAAATATATACAATTTTTATTTGTCAATCATACCTCCATAAAGCCAGAAAAGAAATCCTGCAAATTGGTGGACACCACACTTGCATCCATCACTCGTGTGTGTGTGTCTGTGTGTGTGTGGTCTTTGACAAGTTACTTGAACTTTTTCTCAGACCCTCACCGGTAAAATGGGAATTAAATATTGTACCTGTGCAATGTGATTGTTACCTAAACTGATGCCAACAAAATATTAGAGCCTCTGGCACAAGGCAGCCACTCAGCCATGTTAGAGAATGACAGAGGAGGGAGCGGTAGGCTCTCGACAAAACCCAGTTACCACTTGGCAGATTTTTTACCTTGAAGCAATTGTTTGGTCTTCAAGCAGCCTCAGCTGGGCTCTCTCTTTGTCAGAAAGCTGCGCTAGTGAATAACAGGACTCATGCTTCTGAGCCAAATGTATTCTAAAGCCTGCTCATTCTTAAAGTGAATGAAAATGTTTATTTCCCATATGAATGAAAAAGTGTTATATGCCTTGTGTGGGAAATTCAGAAAGCACAGAAAAGTATGAAGTCACCCATAATCCTGCCAAAGTAACCAGTATTAACAGTTAACCATTAAACCATTGTTTGCCAAATTACCAATAGTTTTTCTGTGAAGTTTTTAAACAAAATTAGGACCACAATATCCTTGCATTTGTCTGTCCTCCCTTTTTTCACTTAACATTTAATTGCATGTATTTTCCCCATCTTTAAACATTCTTTATAATCACCACTTTTACTGCTGAGCAACAATCCATCTTATGCGTAGATGTTATACTTAGCTCTTCCCTTATAGTGTCAGGCTATTTTTCAGTGAAATAAATACTAGATGAACATATTTGCACATATATCTGCAATTGTATCATTTCTCTAGAATCAATTTTTGGAGAAGGAATTGCACTCCCAAAAGGTATGAGCAATTTCAAACTGACTGGCATATATTGCCAAGTAGCTTTCCAGATAGGTTGTTCCAATTCAAATTCTACTAGAAGAGTGTTGGTCAGTACGTCTGTTTCATCCCCTCAGCCCCTACTCTCCCAGAGTTTTTTTAAAAAAATACCTAAACTAATACGCAAGGTAGGGACTGGTTGTTCTTTAAAGGTAAATTTCTCAAGTTCATTTGGAGAAATAGCTCCAGGGACTTATGTTCACCATGGTTAACTGTGGGATTAGGTCTCCTGAGAAGACAGTGGTAGAAAAATCATTCAAATATGGGAGAAAAAGATACAATTGCAACAGAAGCAAAACAGGTGACTTTTCTGAGCTTTCAAAAAATTTTAAATGTGTATCTTATTGAAATATGACCTTCTCCCATGCAACAGTTGGTCACAATACTGTACCCTCAGTTTTGACCTAATGCTTGAAATTCTCTGCTTTGAAACTCATTTTCACATGCACGAAATTGGTGGTGGTGGAGAAGGTAAATTAGTTTCTCAGACAGTTTTGTTAAGACTTGTTATGGAAGTAGAGCTGCAACAAATTGAGCCAAGGATTCAGCTTGTGTGTTGATTTTTCTACCATAATCAATGGTGTTTGGTCTGCTTAATGTTGTACACATTGTAAACTCTGAGTCTTCCTTTTGTAAGAGGAGTACCTTTTGAGAGCCATTTAATTTTAAAGGAAGTCATTTTTTTTTCCAAAATTCAATGTGATGTTGTGAAAATATACTTCTCATGGTTATACTATAGTGCTTCCACCTGACAGAATTCCTCCCCTGTAATAACTATAACCACATGTAAGTTTGTTAACAGAATCCATGGGGAGTGTTACCAACCAATACTGGGCCACTCCAGACCTGTGCCAGGCCCTCAGAACTGAGAGGGAAACAGTAACTGAGGAAAACGAAAGGGATTCTGAACACTAGTCACTAAGCTAGAAACACATCAAACGTGTTTTTATTCAGATATTTTTTACTGACTTTGTTAACTAAATTCTATCTCATATTGGTGGATGAAGCTGTATTTTTAGAAATAAATTTTTAGAAATAGTCCAGAGAAGATAGCAGAATAGATTATTCTAATTCTTTTTTTTTTTTTTTTTTTTTTTTTTTTTTTTGATGGAGTCTCACTCTGTCGCCCAGGCTAGAGTGCAGTGGCATGATCTCGGCTTGCTGCAACCTCTGCCCGCCTCCCGGGTTCAAGTGGTTCTCTTGTCTCAGCCTCCCAAGCAGCTGGGATTGCAGGTGCCTGCCACCACATCCAGCTAATTTTTGTAGTTTTAGTAGAGACAGGGTTTCACCTTGTTGGCCACACTGGTCTTGAACTCCTGACTTCGTTATCCGCCCACCTCAGCCTCCCAAAGTGCTGGGATTAGAGGCATGAGTCACTGCGCCCGGCTGATTATTCTAACTCTTGATCCAGTGTCTTGGGCAACTTCGTATTCCCTCCTAGACATCAGTCAGCGTCTGCTCCTCCCACTTCCCATTTCCTGCTCCTTCCAGCCTCACATAGATTCACATGTGCAGGACCTGCTCATGGCCTGGTGCCAATACTGTTTCACTAATATTGCGTAATTGGTGGACCTTTTTTTTTTAATCTTTAAAGCATTACTTGAATTTTCTAACTTTCCAAGCTTTCTTGTTTCATTCCATGTTCTCTCAATATGCATAAACAATACACAGCAGTTAGAATAGAAGAAAGCTCATTTAGGTAATTTTTCTTTAGTTTTGATGAAATATAAAAATATACCTGAGTCAGGCCGGGTGTGTTGGCTGACGCCTGTAACCCTAGCACTTTGGGAGGATGAGGCAGGTGGATCACCTGAGATCAGGAGTTCGAGACCAGCCTGGCCAACATGGCAAAACCCCATCTCTACAAAAAACTGAAAAATTAGCCAGGCGTGTCCCAGCACTTGGGAGGCTGAGGCAGGGCAATCACTTGAACCCAGGAGGTGGAAGGTTGCAGTGAGCCGAGATCATACCACTGAACTCCAGCCTGGGTGACAGAGCCAGACTCTATCTCAAAAAATACACATATATATGAGTCAGCCGTTCCCTCTTTGTTTATTTTATTTTATTTTTTTTCAGACAGTCTTGCTCTGTCACCCAGGCTGGAGTACAGTGCTGCGATCTCTGCTCACTACAACCTCCACCTCCCAGGTTCAAACAATTCTTGTGCCTCAACCTCCTGAGTAGCTGGGACTACAGATGTGTACCACCACGCCTGGCTAATTTTTGTTTTTTTTAAATAGAGATGGGGTTTTACCACATTGGCCAGGCTGGTCTCAAACTCCTGTCCTCAAGCTATCTACCCACCTCGGACTTCCAAAGTGCTGGGATCACAGACGTGAGCCACTGCCCCCGGCCTGTTTTGTTGATTTGTTTTTGAATTTCAATGTTTAAAATTTAGTTTCTGGTAAAAGATGATAACATTTGAGTTCTAATTTGCTGTCAACTCTGCCACCAAAAAAAAAGTAGTAGGAATGAAATTATTCTCAGCAAAATACTTTAATCTCTTAGAATTAAAAGCTTAAAAGTATTAAATGCATTTTAGGTCTTTATTAGTTCTCTGGAACTAAAATTGTATTTCAGCAAAAATAATGAATTACAATTTTGCTCATTAATTACCAAATATTTATTTCAGAACCATAATATGAAACCCACAGAAACAAAAGCACACAAACAACTCTGAAAAAAATTACTTGGTATCTCTTCGAGAAGAAAAATGTCTTCTTCGGGGCAAGAAGTGTGTTATTCTGTGTCACTTTCAGAAGGAGGTCACACGTTTTCTTATTGATTTTACTTCCTGTTTGGTAGCAAAATAATGTGAGATGAGGCAATGAATATTCCTGGCGACAAGCCCAGATGTGAAAAAATATGTGTCAGGACATTTTCTGAATTCCATCTTTTTCCCAGAGATATCCTTGCTGATGAATGGTCTTTGCCCTATGTCAGGGACACAATCACATGGCTGTACTTTAGGAGGATCTTCTGGCAGCCCATTACTTATAAACACAAGCCAGTTGGATTCCAGGTGTGCACTCGAAATTCCCTGGCAGTCCTATTGCACAGCTAGGTGGCTTCAGCCAGTGGGTTCCCAGGAATTTGCTACCAAAGCATAAGCAGGCTACAAGTGGAGCCATGCTCCTGTTTGCCCTTGTTTTTACAAAGAGATAAGGAAAAGGGTCACTTTCTTTCTGTGAAGGTGGGTGGAGAGGAGAAGAGATTTGGGAGAAGTACAGTGTCATTAAATTGACCTGAAATGCTTTTGAACAACATCTCTGTTCCTCAGGCAACATCAGGAACACTGAGAAGCTGAGCTATGACAAACAACACCAGTATGAGATCCTGGTGACCGCCTACGACTGTGGACAGAAGCCCGCTGCTCAGGACACCCTGGTGCAGGTGGATGTGAAGCCAGTTTGCAAGCCTGGCTGGCAAGGTGGGCCTGTTTTATCAGTCTTGTGCAAAGGCAGCATGGTCTGGTGTATAGAAAGTGGTGTACTTGTTCTCAAATCATCACAACACACAACTTTTTAAAGTATAGTCACTTTGCTGTGAGAAATAAAGTAGCTTGCTTATTCCCACAACTCTTAGGTAATATATTATCCCCATTTTTCAGCTGAGAATGTCAGAGACATCTCCTCTAACCTCATGCACCCTGTTTGTCCAGTGCTCCCTTTCTCAAATCTCATGACATCTTTGATCAATAGAAATTATCTCACAGCATGTAGGAGAAATTGCCAGCAAGCCTATTCACTTTACCCTAGGGTGCTGAGTCTACCTAATGCATTTCAAGTTTTGCATCACGGATCAACACCTAAAGTCATCGTGTTCTTTGTGCTCACACAGAGTGCACACAGGCAGAGGCGGGAGACCCAGAATCCAGCCTCTGGATTAGGGAGTATATAAAATGTTGACTCTGGGAATGAAGAAGCAATGGCTTTTGATGGAGGTGAATTTTTTTTTTGTCAGTTTAGCTCTTTTAAAATGCAAGGAAAACTAAATGCTTAGGTCGCCCTTAGATAATAGAGTTTATCACTGAACTGAGGGCAAGTAAGGAAGGTGAGGACAGCTGCATAGATGGACCTTACAGAGATTTGAGTAATTTGTGGAATAATAATAGCTTTAGTGGTAATGCTAATAGATCTGGTGGCTGAGCAGGGATTCTAGAATTATCTCTGCACCATTATTTTGGTGGCCCGATGACTCCCTGTCTCTACTTCATGTGTTGAAGATGCTGCAGGCTATTGCTTACTCATAACTCATAAAGTGCTTCATTTCTGGGTACTGCCTTCTTTTGGTGTGTCTTTAGGCTTCTGCCTCCCTCTTATATTCTCATATTTTCCCTCTGTCTCTCTGTCTCTCTGCCTCTCTCTCTCTCTCTCTCTGTCTGTCTGTCTGTCTCTCTCTCTCTGTCTCTCTCTGCTATCTTTAATTCTTAAATTCCCTAGAAAGAGTTGATGTTAGTCACTCACATCCATGTAGGGAAGACTGATGCCAGACCACCCTATAAATCTCTCATCAGTCTTTGAATGACTGCCTTTTATTCAGTTATTCATTCCTAATCCAATTTATCAGGGTCAGATTGGCAGGACATCATGGTACAAAGTAAGGACACCTGTGTCTGAGAAGCTGCCTGACATCATTCCCCTCAGAAGGCAGTTCTCAAAGCGCTCCTCCCTTGAACAACTTGATCTCCCTTAAACTTAAAACTGAAAAGATCGGAAGGGGTAATTTAACCCACCTCTGGAGAGAGCCAGAGTTGTTTGCCTTTGAACAAAGTAGAAAAGATGAAATGCTCAGTAGAGGAACCACAGGTAAGGCACATGAGAGATAAAGAACAAAGCAGAGTCATCTTTATGTCAGTCTGTTAGGATCAAGGAAGAGACATACAAAGAAGGACAAGCCAGAGTGGGAAACTTTGTTTTCCCAACCTCGGGGAGCCTGAGCTCTGATTGGGTATAATTCACCAGACCCAAGGACCCTGCAGACAGACTTCTGTCTTGTTCACCACTGAATTTCTCAAGCTTGGTGCGGTGTCTAGTGCCAGTGGTGGGTGCTCAAGAAAATAGTCATTGAATGAATGAATGGATGGACGAATGAAAGAAAAGGTATCTGAGTTAAGAAGAACTCGCCTTGTTTTATTTTTAACTCATGGGGATTAGCTCCAGTGAAGGTGTGGCCTTTGAAGAGAAAACCTGGAAAAAATATATAAACTCTCTATGCATGAAATATGTTCACAATGAGAATTTAAGTGGGAAAAGCAAAACACACAGCTCTATCAGGAGAATAGTCCCAATGTTTCTTTGGCTTTGACAAATGAGGCACCTACAGATTTGTGATTACATTTTTATTCCTATATTTAAATGTAATTTCCTAACAGAATTGGTACTTATTAAATGTATGCAAGGAAAAACCTGGTCACAATGTTTAACTCTACATGCGAAGAATGTATTGAGCACCACCCTGTAGTGCACACTGCTGTTTGCAGTCTGGATAAACCTTGTTGGGCAAGGCTGATGCCCATTTGCTGTTGTGTCTCCAGTGCCCAGCACAGAATCAGACATGATGCAGGCACTTAGCAAGTGTTTAACGATGGAGGAATGGTCAGCAAAACTTTGGTTTAAAAAATGTACCTTTCTGTGGAATAAAGAAAGCAGGGAAGAGGCAATTCCCTGCATCCATTGATAGTGTTAGGCAAAATGATTTAAACACATGTAACATCAGAATCAGCTACTTCATGGTGGCTTCCCTGCCTTAGCTGTGTGGGCTATGATGAGGTTTCTCTTCAAATAGCCTGATCAATACTTTATTCTTTAATTCATAGTACTCCCCCACCCCTTTTCCCTTTTTCTCTTTTTTTTCCTTTCTGCCTTTGCTACGTGCCCAGACACGCCATAATACCAGGCTTATCAGTACCGGCTCACATTCCTTTCCTTATTTGGAAAGAAGACTAGCTCTCTAGCTCATTGCAGACACCCCTTCCCCTTTTCCCCTCTCTCCCTTATGTGCCCACCATATCTAAAGAAAGTTGAAATGTTTACCCATCCAGGATTAGTTCAAATTGTGCGACCCGACCCCAGCCAATGGGGAGAGGGTACAGGGGCAGGACATGCGTCAGGAATAAAGGCTTTCCTGCCCCTTTGTTCAGGTGTGGTCTCATGGTGACTGGCCAAGGAGAAGCACCCCTCTGCACAGAAGTCAAATTGCTTTGCTAAGGATCCTTTGTTTGAGTGATCAACTTCCTTAGGATTTTGAGCATGATTCCCAACAGCTGTGGTGGCAGAAGCTGACAATGAATTCTTCATCCTTAATCTTCTCCCTCCAGCTTACCCCTTGTAATTCCTTCCTGCCTAAAGGGAAATGACTTAGGTACAAGAATTCAAACTGCCAAACTGTGTTTGGCATCCAGAGCCAGAATCTGGGATGTCCTCTCTCTCAGTCACTGCTCCAGTAGGCTTCCAGATCATAGACAGGCCCTCCAGGCTCTCTGATATGTAGAGCAGGCCATAGGACCTTTCTACCATTCCTGTCCCAGCTCCTAGACCTAGAGAGGAACCTCCTCTCCTTCTCCCAGACTATGAATTCACTTCATTCCTCCACTTGGACGATGCTGAACTCTTCTTACTCGCTCATCTTGGGGCCTATTCTGTCTTATATCCAGGGTTGCAGCCTCTTAACTGGAAGTTCACCTTTCTCCAGGGAAGAACTGACCACAACTGGTCTGAGTTGTGTGTCTCTTGTCCTGCCCCTTCTCCCAGCTGTGCAGAGCAAACTGGAATGAACCGTGTTTTACTGGCTTGCTTGCTACTTGCAGATGATGCAGACTGCCCCTTACTGTGAGTGGGCATCAGATGCCTTGGGGGAAAGGTTTGGCTTTTCATGGAGCCAGTATGGGGTGAATCCTGCACTTTGTAAATGGATTAGGTTTTAACATGATTTGGAAATGACACAAACATTTAGTTATAGCACTGACTGTCTGTCTTAAGGGAGTAAGAAGGAGATGACTTACAAAAGCTATCTTTGAAGTCTTCAAGGGCAGGGTCTTAGTAGAGTAGTTAGGATGGGAAGGAGAGGTTTTGAGTGTTGTCCTCATAGTAAGGACCTATGGTTACCTGATGTTATATGGGGCCCAGCAAGAAAGAATAAGTAAGGAGTCATCGTGGAACTAGATAGCCTGTTTGAGTTCCAAGAGTACTGTTTTTATTTTTACTATTTATTGTCTTATATGGTATTTTCCACAGTTAGCGGATGAGCTATTGTCTACAAAGCATCATTTAAAGAGAGAACAGGCCCGGGCGCCATGGCTCACACCTTTAATCCTAGCACTTTGGGAGGCTGAGGCAGGTGGATCACTTGAGGCCAGGAGTTTGAAACCAGCCTGGCCAACATGGTGCATCCCTGTCTCTACTAAAAATACAAAATATTAGCCAAGCATAGTGTTGCATGCCTGCAATCCAAGCTATTTGGGAGGCTGAGGCAGGATAATCACTTGAACGTGGGAAGTGGAGGTTGCAGTGAGCCCGTGTTGTGCCACTGCACTCCTGCCTGGGTGACACAGTGAGACTCTGTCTCAAAAAAAAAAAAAATACATATATATATATATATATATATATATATAT